GGTTCATGAAAACCACATCCTTTATTCTGATTACTAATTCTCTCTAATACTGTTACCTTGAACTTGGCATTAACATCTTCAGTCACATTCACACCAAAGGATGTTTCAGTGGTTAGTGTCTGCATTCAGTGCTTGGCTGAACTCATATCTTTAAGTATTTTCTGGAAATAAATACATTTATGATGCTAACTACAGTGGGTTTGTGTCCACGAACAAAAGCGGGTTACCTAATTAATGCTAGCTTTGCTTCAGGATTAAATAAATCAATTTTTATCTATTTTAGTTTTAAAACTAAAGCTGGGACATCAACAAGTTCATAGAATTCTCAATTTACATGGAATTAGCTGCGAAACATTTTAAAATAGTACTACACCCATTTTTTTTACTTTTTAAAACCATACTCTTGACTCAGAATAATCTAAGGTGTGCTTTATGAGAAATCTTCTAAGCACACAACTAAGTTAGCCCTCACTGTTTTGTGTTTGAAGTCATGGATAAACCAGAAACAGATTTATCAGAATCAATCCTTTCAACCGCTTTAGTCCAAAAAACAGATTGATGATTTTAATTGCATATTGGGTCGGGGTTTTTTCTTGTGCAAATAAACTGTATAACAACCCTAGGAAAGAAAACTGGGGACATATTTTCATAAGCAAAGATATCCAAACTCTCTCATAATTACCCATGCTCCTGTATTTCTGTGCCCTGTGCAGCTTTTTTCTGAATGGAGAAGAAAACTTCCAGAAATATCTGACCTTCCTAATGAAACTGCAGTTTAACTTCTCAGGAGCAAACTAAAGAACTAGCAATCATTTTACCTTCTTCACAGAGGACATCCTTTCCATTTTTTCTTCTGTTCAGACGTACAGAGCACGCATGGAAAAAATATATTTGTATATATTATGAAAAATACATTTGGCTTCAGGAAAGGAGTAGGCTTAGGTGATATGCAAAATTTCGGAAGGAAGTCTGTTCAACATTACCATATGAGGGAGCAGCAATGAAGGATGTTTGGAGGCAGCAGGAGGCTTCCTATTTTTAATATTTAACCCCTGCTATTAGCTCTTTAAGTCTAACAGGGAGGTCTTAAGAAACATCCTGACTTAACCACTGAAAATTTTTCGTTACGTGTTCATTTTTTTTTTTTAAATTTTCATCTTTATGATAAAATTACTTACTGCTTCCCTTGAATTTCCTGAAATATTTTCTGAGCTTTTTTCTTTCTTCTTTTTTGAACGAAACCTCACAGCAGATGAGAGCCGTGACATCAGAAACATAAACATGAAGTTAACTTTCATTGCGCTTTGCAACATCATTCTATTCTAGGATAATGATTTTATCTGTTATCATTCCTTTTTAAGCTTTATTTACTCCTGTGTTATTAGACTGAATTTGTGGACTGCTCCCTATCAGGTTTTCTTTACTGTTCTCCTCTTCATTCACTATTGTCAGCTGACAACATACTGCTCTTAATTATACACCAAAACATTCTGATTGCCAGACCTCCTTCAGCACACGTGCCTGACTTCCACTCAAAACAGGAGCATGAGTGAAATTATGCAATAATGAAGCAGTGATAACAACACAGAGGGCAAATCTGCATCGCACTTCATGGACTTACACAGGAAAAAAGGAAAGCAGAAAATAATTCCTGTCCAAGTGCACAAAATAAAGTGAGATTGAAGAACATTTTCATAGTGCAAATATTCCATTTAATTTATTATTTTCTCAAAACTACCATGAAATTCTGTAAGCTGAATACTTATTTGCAGGAGAGGGAGGGATAGATACATTCAAAATGGCAAAGAATACAATAAAATTCCCAAACAAAGCATTTCAGATTTTCACGGGTAGATCTATGCTTTAAAACCACTCTAATAATCACACTGAACAAAACGAGTTTTGCTTAAATTATAATGAATTTTCAGCAATATGTCCAGCTCACTAGATACAATTCTCCCTATCTTTTGCCCAATTGTTTATTTAATATCTTATTTTAAATTCCTTAGAAGTTATGTCGTGCTTCCAAAGATGGAAAGAGAAATATTTCAGATCCCATACAAAACAAAGATACTCTGGACAGGCAATATTAACAGTTCACAGCAGTGGATAAGGCTATTTTATAGTGGATAAGCTAATTTATTGCACAGGCAGCAGTCCTTCACAGTTCCTGAACCCACAGTGACAGGATGTGAACTTTGTTCTAAAACTCCTTTCTTTACCTTGCCAGATAGGGAAACACACTAGCTAGATGAAAAAAAAACACAAAAATTCATCAGATCAAAGACAGTAACAGTGATGCAGTGCATGAAAGAAAAGGGAAGTGTAATTCTCTACTATGCACAGGGAAAGAAAAGAATTCACTGCTACTGATTCCACCACTTCTCGGGACAGTTTTTTTTTTCTCATTTTAACCAAGGCAGAGGGAGGTGGCGAGGTAACATTTTTTTCCTGCTGTTATTTGTTTTTGTTTTGTTCTGCTTTGCTCTCACTTTTTTAATAAAACTGTTATCTTTTTTTTATCCTTTTTTTATCCTTCACTCAGTCTCCTCTTAACCTCAAAATTCCTCAATATCAAATTTATGGAAGATGAGGCACATGCTGTATGTAACCTGAAACACTAAAAAATTCCTAAAAAAAAAAAAAAAAAGTATATTGGCTTTCATTATGTCAGCATGGCAAGTTCATTATTGCTGAAGTATTCAAGTAGCTCATCACTGAAAAAAAAAAAAATAATAGCACCAAGAATTAATTATGAATAGCTTTTTTAGCAATTTTCCCCCAGAGTCCCTCAGGTATAAAACAACCCTTCCACAACAAGCCAAAATTAGAAACACTAAAAAGAAGAGAAAAAGAATACGCTTTTATCCTTGTATTCCTCGCCAGTCCAGTGCTTCTCATTTTCATTCTCTGGTCACACTGAGGAGACTTTTTATTGCGACAGAGCAGTTTATTTCTCAACTACGTGAGAGTTCTTACCAGTTGTAAAGCTGCACTGCAGTCTCAAAAAGAATTAGAAATCTTCTGTTGCTCGTGTTACATCACATTTGGGGAAGAAGTTTCCCTTAGATATTTTTCCACTGACTGCCACAAAGGTTTCTACAATAATCCAAAGGCAAAACAGCAGTGCTCTTTTCTAATATAAGACTGCTAATCTAAATTTCCCCCTGCCCTTTTCCTGTGGAAGCAGGCACACAGCAAATGGAAGGAGAATCCTGTTTGCCTCGTGCTGGTTTTGGTTGGGATAGAGTTAATTTCTTCACAGTAGCTGGTACAGGGCTATGTTTTGAATTTTGGGTTTAACCCAGCTGGGAGTTCAACCCAGACACCTCCTTTGCAAAAAAACAGTATAAATGCAGAAGGAAGTTTGCAGAGTAGTTGCTGTGATAAAAGGAGCTGTGAAGGCTAAAAGCCAGATGTGGCTTGAGAATGCTGCTTTTAAACTCTGAACCGCTTCGCTCAGTAGGTCAGGACATTCGAAGACTGAGACATAAAAAGTGCATTTTTTGTTTAAACTTAATACAAGACTCCTCTTTAAACTTTGAAAGAAAGTTAACTTACTGGCTGACTATAAACTTCGTAACCATCCTGAATGCCAGGCCTGGAAAAAACTCAAGCTAGTGGTCACTTTTTATAATTTACATGAAAATTAAAAAAAAAGTATTTTGCTTTATGATAATGAAATCCCTGTTACTAGACCGACAGTACCTGTCACTAGATTGTTTTGGCAGCAGGCTTACCTATTGTTAAAACTATTAAGTGCTGTGTAACATGATCTAAATTCTACAGATTCTCCAGTATTTTTCTGTCTTTTAGGCCACATTTAACATAAAAGGCTTTGTCTACTTAACCAACAAAATCAAACAAGAATTTCCACTAACATTTGTTTTAATTCAGCTAGCTTTGCAGACACAGACAAAGAAGTCATGAACACAGAAAGTTCTCATTCCAGTGGTTTAGATTAAAATGTAACCCGAGAAGGGTTATATATATATGACATGTATGTCATATATATCAATCATTTCATGTCACAGATTTACGATCTGTAAATACAAGTACCGGTGAACCCATTTAAAAATTATCAGATAGTTATCATTATTAAAGTTTTTTTTCTAAAACCATCCGATGAAATGAAGTTTCGGAGATCACATCAACCTGCTACCTGTTTTCCAGAATGCTGCAGTAAGGATGATGAGTGTGACATTAGAACAGACACTCATGAAGCGTGCATTCAATGCTTGAATCACAAAGGTAAAACAATGCTGTGCTGCAGAACGCACTATTTCCAGTGCACGAAGAAGAAAATTATCCAGAACTTCTTGAAGTTACTCATTTTTCATTCACTCACAAGCAATTATGCTTGTAATGGAAAGGAGAATTGAGGGTCTCGCAGTCCAGAGCGAGACTAAAAGAAAATACATGTTTTGAACAGAAAAACCCATCATAATTCTTTGGCGTTATAGCAGATGAACTGCTGGAGAAAATGCATTGTGATAAACAGTATGTTTAGGTAATTACTAAGCAAGATAACATGCCAGTTTCAGCGTGTCTTGATATCTTTTTGATACTGCTTGGAAGGAGAATCTTGTACTTCAGATCACTCTCAACTGACCAATTGCTACACAAACATAATTCTTCCAAACTCTCAGAATTTCCCGAGGCCTCCTAGATAACATGAATTTCACTCCATGCTCAGAATCCCATATCCTAAGTCCTGTGCCATATAAATTTACATAAAGAAGGCTACTAACTCTTAGATGAGTCAATAAAAACCATTAGAATCCTTGCTATTAAACAATTTTGGTTGATTTTGGTATAGAGAATTCCATTAATTGATTCTGTCAGTCAAATTATAATACAGGAGCCCCTTAAATTTCTTACCATGAGATGCCTGATATTAAAGCTGCAGTTTATCTAGCCCCTTAAAAAAATGCATTTTAAAAATATTTAAGCACATTCTGACAGGTGATATAATTTAATAAAGTTTTTGTGTCCCTTACCTTTAAAGAGGATTTGGTTCGAGGTTCTGTTCTCTGCCTGGTGAGCTTGTTTTGAATAAGCAATGACTGATCTGTACGAGTATCATAATTCCCATGTTCTGAATCATCTGTGTAAGTGTCTTTGTCCTTCCCTACATCTGAAGGAAAACAGAAGGAATAAAATGAGCTCATTTTAGATTATGGTGGATAGAAATGAACAGCATTATTACAGCCACATTGAATATTTATGTATACACTTTTCAGTAACATATTCTACCCCTTCCTGCAAAATTTTTTTTACTTGAAATGTTACCATCTTTAAGTAGAAGCGACTTCTAATTTTAGCAGACAGCCTAGAGAAATGAGGTTTCACTATGGCTTTACAGTAGTTTAAAAAAAAACACCACTAAGTGATATGAATATTCAAATGTCAATTCCTACCCTGTATAACCAGCAGGAGCAAAATGAAGGGTACTGTCTATACAGTGTAGGACCACGTAAAGTTCTAATGAATGCTGGAAAGTGGTTAGACTTGAAAAAAATACTTTAAAGAAGATGAAAAAGACGGAATAATTATTCCCACGCAATTGGACAAATTGGAAATAGAAACATACGCAGACAAAAAAGTTACCCACAAATCCTGAGCCCAAGTTCTCATCTTAACTTTCACATCAGCATGGGAAAAGTCAGGTGGACTGGGAAAAGCATTTGGCCCAGTAATCCTAAACCCTAAAGGGAAGCCAAGTCATGGTTGCTGTGGAAACCCCAACCTTTAATTTCTGAGTTTTACATTCACATCATCTCATCTGCAATAATAAAGCGTTTTTCACGAAGTCGTTCAGTTAAATTTTCCACAGTAAGTACTACAGAAATAAAAAAAAAAAAAAAAGAACAAACACAATTATCTCAAATACCCTAAACATTTCGCATTTCTGAGATGGAATATTAAAAACCAGAACATTTCCAAGCACCGCTTTTTCTGCAGCTGAGCTACTACACAACGATTACACAGAATGTTTCCCTGGTAATTTCTCACATTGCCACTAACAGGTAAACCTGTGATGGGATTTTTTTAACGTACAAAATAGCTAATTTTAATCACCAAAGTGCCTAACGCAGGGCTTTTATTTCTTTTAAACAGTGTTTTAACTTAATATACAGATTACTCTCTGATCAACAAAAATGAATGCAGTTGATTACTTACTTTATGCATGTCAAGCTCTCTATATCTATATAATGATATTAATATGGTAAAAAGGGGAGGAATACATAGCATTTAAACCTCGCACTTGAACAAGTATTTGTTACACTTGTCTAACAAATGTCAGACTGAGACATATCATACAATCCATTATTTCAAAAGTATATTCAAAAGTGTGCTTTTTTTTTTTTTCCCTTAACATTCAGGTAGTTTTGGACACTGCTGCCAACAAAACACCTCAAATATGCTTTGCAGGTACTCTGAACAGACCAGTAGTCCCCTTTACCTCTTCTGCAGCATATATTAAAAGAAAATCTTCAGTCATACTCAAAGAAAGAGTTCAATGGAATGCATTGTATTTTTATAACAAAACAGGCTACAAAGAACAAGCACAATGCATGTGTGTGTTTTGGGAGGCACATTTCATTTCTTGAGTTGAACTCCCTGCAAATTTCTTTTGATTATCTTTAATGTTTTTAAAGAACACAGAATGAAATGTATTGATTTTAGAAAAAGAACTTGAGAGAAGTTAACAGAAATTAAACTTTGCTACTAATAGTATTGACCGTGTTTTTCTACTTTTTATGACCAGCTGCTTTTTGTATAATGAGGTATCCACCACTTTGATTAAAAAAGAAAGTCTCTCTCCTGTAATTTTCCCATCCACTAAGCCAAAATTACATTCCTTTAAACTTGCATAACACAAAGCACAGAGATTTAACTCCTTGAGACTTTCTTCAATAACTACAGTTTCGAAGCTTCTATGACATTCTTTTATAATGCTTGCCTATAAAGTAATACTATTTCCTGCCATCCTTTCCTCCCCAGTCTCTATTACTTGGTTATGTATTTTATCTGACATTTGGGATTGCCACAATCACTAAAATACTACTTCATCAAAATGTCCAACAATCAATGTTTACATGTTGAAATATATAAGCTAATATATCAGCTATTTAATTTTTAGTTAAAACCTACTCTGTAGGTATTAACTCAGTACAGTAAAAAAACCTTTAGTCAACGTAAAAACACGCCAAAGTCAGAAAAAAAGGTGTAATAATTGTTTACAAAGCACTTTTCCATCTCTACTAAAGGACCAAAAAAAACAAAAATTAAAAAAATATCTGACCTGTTTGGGTGACTCCTGGGTAAATACAGCTCCCCTACAATAATGCTAAAGTAAACAGAAGATCCTGAAAAATTCCTGAAAAATTTGGAAACTGTGGAAAACCTCAAAAGATGCAAAGAATAAAGGAAAAGGGGAGAGGAGAGGAGGGGGGAAAGCATGGCTGGGGTAAAACAAAAAGAGGATGGGACTCATCTATGTTCGTGTCCACATCCTCAAACCCCCAAGGATATCAAGAGGACATTTGCCTTCACTCCTAACCACTCTCTTCTTTGAACTTGGAGCACTTTGCAGAATTATAAATTTAATTTATTACCAACGAGCTCAGAGTAGAACAATGACACATAAAAATAAACCTTAAAATACCTTCCCCCTAACCCCTCCCTTCCTCCTGGGCTTCCACTTTACTCCTGGGTTCTCGACCTCCTCCCACAGGAGCAGCACAGGGGAATGGGAAATGAGGGGTTGCATCTATATAGTACATTTTTAAATGAGTATAGCCAATTAACAGTGTCTTGCTGATGTATTTGACTCACACAATTATGGCAATTAAAACTTATCGGATGGTTGAGAGCTTTCAGAATCGTTGTCACGTAAAAAGTTTTATTTAAAAAAAAAAAAAAAGTATTAAAATGATGTATACAATTTTTAAGTCCCAAGTGACCTGCTATAGAAAGGGAAGTTGTGCTGTAATGACTTCAAGTCAGAGAAGTTTCTATATTAAATCATCTTTTGCCAATGAGGCAAAAAAAAAAGACAGAAAAAACCCCCCACGCTGAATTTTAAATAAAGATAAGGCTGTTAAATCAGAGAAAAGGGTGACAGCTTCTAATTCTACAGGTAGAGCCCAAACCTTATTTCAATAAAATCAGTGGGAATTTCAGCATTCACTTCCATATGTCAAGGACTTCTCTTTAATTAGGTATACACTTAAAGAGATGCATCTGTATAATTGTTAGAACACCTGAACATGTAACTAAGTAATGTCACCTTGGATCCACACTCCAGGGTAAGGTGATTTTAAAAAGGCTTCAAGCATTAATCAAGCAGATAACAGATCTCTTCATCCCAGCAGTTGCTTTGCTA